GGAGTAAAATAAAATAGATTTTTAGTTAGTTGATTCTACACAGGAGTAAAATAAAATAGATTTTTAGTTAGTTGATTCTACACAGGAGTAAAATAAAATAGATTTTTAGTTAGTTGATTCTACACAGGAGTAAAATATAATAGATTTTTAGTTAGTCGATTCTACACAGGAGTAAAATAAAATAGATTTTTAGTTAGTTGATTCTACACAGGAGTAAAATATAATAGATTTTTAGTTAGTCGATTCTATACAGGAGTAAAATAAAATAGATTTTTAGTTAGTCGATTCTACACAGGAGTAAAATAAAATAGATTTTTAGTTAGTCGATTCTACACAGGAGTAAAATAAAATAGATTTTTAGTTAGTCGATTCTACACAGGAGTAAAATAAAATAGATTTTTAGTTAGTTGATTCTACACAGGAGTAAAATAAAATAGATTTTTAGTTAGTTGATTCTACACAGGAGTAAAATAAAATAGATTTTTAGTTAGTCGATTCTACACAGGAGTAAAATAAAATAGATTTTTAGTTAGTCGATTCTACACAGGAGTAAAATATAATAGATTTTTAGTTAGTCGATTCTACACAGGAGTAAAATAAAATAGATTTTTAGTTGGTCGATTCTACACAGGAGTAAAATAAAATAGATTTTTAGTTAGTTGATTCTACACAGGAGTAAAATAAAATAGATTTTTAGTTAGTTGATTCTACACAGGAGTAAAATAAAATAGATTTTTAGTTAGTTGATTCTACACAGGAGTAAAATATAATAGATTTTTAGTTAGTCGATTCTACACAGGAGTAAAATAAAATAGATTTTTAGTTGGTCGATTCTACACAGGAGTAAAATATAATAGATTTTTAGTTAGTCGATTCTACACAGGAGTAAAATAAAATAGATTTTTAGTTAGTCGATTCTACACAGGAGTAAAATAAAATAGATTTTTAGTTAGTCGATTCTACACAGGAGTAAAATATAATAGATTTTTAGTTGGTCGATTCTACACAGGAGTAAAATAAAATAGATTTTTAGTTAGTCGATTCTACACAGGTATAAATAAAATAGATTTTTAGTTAGTTGATTCTACACAGGAGTAAAATAAAATAGATTTTTAGTTAGTCGATTCTACACAGGAGTAAAATAATATAGATTTTTAGTTAGTTGATTCTATACAGGAGTAAAATAAAATAGATTTTTAGTTAGTTGATTCTACACAGGAGTAAAATAAAATAGATTTACAGAAGAATATTCAACACAAAAACACAGACAGGGACAGTATCTTGAACATTCCTACTGTGTCTCGTGATACAAGAATGGTGGCTATTGAAGTCAAGGTATTAGACTGTAATACCAGTGTGTAGATGAAACATTGCTAGAACCATTGTCTTTGAATATCATCAGTACGATTGAAACAACACCATTCTATAACATTCTGACGTAATAGAAGCTTGTTTGACACGGCAGTATGGGATACACAAGCGTTATCTCCCTTTTCTCACGTCGTATTTCTAACTTCATATCAGCCAACATATAGCTACAGGTTTAACCTAGACCAGAGAAGATCCTTTAACGTAGGTAAATAAACCTCAACTTACATCTTGATATATTCTGGTAAATTCTGTTCTATTGATGGTAGAATTATTATCTATACTCTTTTCATGAGCTATCTACAAATAGATACATAGGTTCTCGTTCATCAACCCATCAACCCAGCACCATCAGGTGTTCAACAAGGTTAATTTAAAATTCAGATCTGATAAAGCTTACATCATTTCAAATTTTTCAAGGCTTCTTTGTAGTTTTCCAGCTTTACTCTTGATCACTTTCTTTGAATACCTTGAGGTATATGTCCTATCCCCTATAGGTAGAATGATCGGAGTGTGTGGGGTAGGGGAAACACAAGCGTCCTACCTGTCTAAATACAGCTAAAGCTTGGATAGTCTCATCATAAACAGTCTGAGTTCTCTTCTTCGTTTCATTGTTTTTTTGTCTGTGAAATAAACCACTGGGTTTTATTTTTTTATTTTTGAAAGATGTAGTCCGAAACGGCTGCCTGTATTCCAGCCTATGATAGCATGTGTGACAATTGTCGCCCTACTTCAGCTGGCAACTTTCATAATAGTTATCAGAGGCTAGACTGATCATTAACTCTTTATAAATTAACAGACAACAGAACAGCAAACTCATGAGAATCTAAAGATCGAAACAGTCGACTTGGATAATGATAATGGTGTCTCTGATATGGGTGACTTACTTGGATAATGATAATGGTGTCTGTGATATGGGTGACTTACTTGGATAATGATAATGGTGTCTGTGATATGGACGACTTACTTGGATAATGATAATGGTGTTTGTGGGTATGGACGACTTACTTGGATAATTATAATGGTGTCTCTGATATGGACGACTTACTTGGATAATGATAATGGTGTTTGTGGGTATGGACGACTTACTTGGATAATTATAATGGTGTCTGTGATAATGGACGACTTACTTGGATAATGATAATGGTGTCTCTGATATGGACGACTTACTTGGATAATGATAATGGTGTCTGTTATATGGGTGACTTACTTGGATAATTGTAATGGTGTCTGTGATATGGAGTACTTACTTGGATAATGATAATGGTGTATGTGGGTATGGACGACTTACTTGGATAATGATAATGGTGTCTGTGATATGGAGTACTTACTTGGATAATGATAATGGTGTATGTGGGTATGGACGACTTACTTGGATAATGATAATGGTGTCTGTTATATGGAGTACTTACTTGGATAATTATAATGGTGTCTGTGATATGGACGACTTACTTGGATAATGATAATGGTGTCTGTTATATGGGTGACTTACTTGGATAATCATAATGGTGTCTGTGATATGGAGTACTTACTTGGATAATGATAATGGTGTCTGTGATATGGACGACTTACTTGGATAATGATAATGGTGTCTGTTATATGGGTGACTTACTTGGATAATGATAATGGTGTTTGTGATATAGACGACTTACTTGGATAATGATAATGGTGTCTGTTATATGGGTGACTTACATGGATAATCATAATGGTGTCTGTGATATGGAGTACTTACTTGGATAATGATAATGGTGTCTGTGATATGGACGACTTACTTGGATAATGATAATGGTGTCTGTTATATGGGTGACTTACTTGGATAATGATAATGGTGTTTGTGGGTATGGACGACTTACTTGGATAATGATAATGGTGTTTGTGGATATGGACAACGTGGTATCAGAGCTCCTGGTCGTTTATCAAAATGATGTTTCATCCATTCTCTATCATTATCAGCAAACTACAGAATAGAACAGAATAGAATAAAGTCTTCAGTATCAGTTTGACAACCTCTTGTGTAATATCTACGTAACGGAAAATGTCAGGATGGCCCTTAAAGGGACAAGTTCACCATTTCTTTTTAGGGTGTTTGATTTGGGTCTTGAATATTTGTAAAAAGTCTGCAGAAGTATTAGAAATGTACGAAAATTGCATAATTCTTTTCAAAATATCTCAAACTAGGAATTTTACTTTCTATTTCTATACAAGTCTTTTCTATATATGGCAAAGTTTCATGAAATGGCGAGTCGTCATTTTAACTTTCAAATGCGGATAATTCTGGACACACATTGATTTGAAGGTTCAAATTTCGACATTGAGTTATGAACACTATTATTGATAATACTTACAATAAGTAAGCCTAGAGTTTTGGGGTTGTATTTTCCGAATCGTTCACTGTGGTCGTACAATCTATGCATGTCTTCTATCGACCTGATTCTATTCATGAAGGAATCTTCTGGTTTCATGGACAAAAACCAACCTACGAGGATGAAAGATATAAACCAGTTCATCAGTCAATGAGCAAGATCAACATATTTTACAAGGTCGGGGTCCATATTGTGGTATACTTGGTAAAGAAAATAATTCGAGTAAAATCTTCCTTGAAGACCAAACTCTTCGCCAAATTCAGACATTTAATATCCTAGTGGCTACAAAAATACATCTACACAAATTTATTTCGTAACTATATTTAACGATTTTCAGCATTGATGATAAAAAATCATCGATTTTCCAGTCTAATCACACTTCATGAGGGCTGTCGTTAGACCCTTACTAAAGTGGCTATATAACAAAAGGAAAATTTGTTCTGCAATTTGAATTAGATTGCGATATTAACATACCGTCAAAACAATGTAGAGGATAATTACAGAGCAATCCACCATCAACAAATATATCTTCAGCTCTTCCGTGTCCAATTACTTCTTTTATAGCCGAGAAATACGCTGTAATACAAACAGATCATTGGTGAGCAGGGCGGCGCAGAGGAGAGTGGAGAGGAGAAGAGCAGAGCGGAGGAGAGCGACGAGGAGAAGAGCAGAGCAGAGGAGAGCGGCGAGGAGAAGAGCAGAGTCGAGGAGAGCGGCGAGGAGAAGAGCAGAGTTGAGGAAGGCGGCAAGGAGAAGAGTGGTAGGTAGAGGAAATAATGTACAGACGCTCTGCTGTTTACACCATAAGCAGGGCGGCGCGGAGCAGAACAGTGCGACACCCTCTGGAAATTCAGTTGTATTTTACCGCTGGCAGCTGGCGGTTGTCCATCGTTCAATTGGCATCCGCTGGCAGCTGGTGGCTGTCCACCGTTCAATTGTCATCCGCTGGCAGCTGGTGGCTGTCCACCGTTCAATTGTCATACGCTGGCAGCTGGTGGTTGTCCACCGTTCAATTGGCATCCGCTGGCAGCTGGTGGTTGTCCATCGTTCAATTGGCATCCGCTGGCAGTTGGTGGTTGTCCACCGTTCAATTGGCATCCGCTGGCAGCTGGTGGTTGTCCACCGTCCAATTGGCATGACTGTCAAGCAATATGAAAGCACACACCATAGCGTATGAATGATTTCAGGGGGCCTACTCTGCTGATATATGAACGATTAAAATTTGTGGAACACCACGATTAAGAATTTTACCTGGTATAGTCATAGACATTGTCACAGCATCTCGAATTTTAACATCCGGGGTTGTTTTAGGATGTAGATAGTCTACAGTTAAATTACTGAGGTTGGTAACGACAACACATAATTCATTACCATTTCTATCATATAGCTAGAAAACAAGGTAGTGGTCAATGAAAAATGAACATGAACAATGAACAGTTTACACACTCATTCTGAACAGATATAATAATATAACAGAATAAATGCAATGGTTTATTACGTTTTAATTTTCTGCTTCTGGTTTTTTCGAGTTCTTAGTACGAACTAAGTACGAAGTTCAGAAAGACTTGATATTGTGAAAATGGTGCAGTGGTAGTCAGCTAAGTAACTAAAACCATAAAAATAATTTTACGTTGTATTTGCGGGTTGAATTCACCAGTTCGCTGAATAATAAACTGATATACCTATGTATTTACCTGTCTAAAAGTCAGATCTGGATTTTGAGTTTTCTTTTCGATCTGTTTCGCCATCTCTTCTTGAACTCTATCAGACGTTTTAAACCCATAATTTTTATAGAGTCGACAAATAGACTTGATAACATTAAAAACACGAAATATACTTCCTGTAATAAACACACAAACTGTGAAATAAACCGAGAGTTACTGGGGTCAACTTCTAAAACTCTTGGAGATGCTGCAAATGAACGTTTCTACTCAAGACAATTTCCACAACTTTAACAATAGTAGGCATAGTAATATCCAAACTCGACTTTGTACAACCGAATGCATGAAGAATTGTCGCGTAGTACCACAAAACGCTGACATAAAACTAAAGCAAGATGATTTTTATCAGATCTTCCCTGCTATGACTCGAATTTTGCACATTTTCCAGGTGGCCAATATATGAAACTGTCCGGACAGGAAATTTTTCGGTACCTGAGCCGTAGATCAAACTTTTGATTTTCTGCGCTTCGCAGATGTCTTTGACTTCATCCGCACTACATCCTACAGCTAATAAACTGGCAGTGATGGCACCAGCACTGGTTCCTGCAAATCTCTTAATCTTATGGTTGCCATGGGGATCTAATAATCCAACTCTCTCTAAATACTGAAATATCATTGAAAGGTGTGAATAGTATTTACGATAGTGACGTCATAAATCGTTTACTTTTAGTGGAATTACAAGAACTACAGACGTCTGATTGAAAATTAGAATGATGTAAATTGATGCTATCAGTGTCCCTGATACACATGAAAAATTAAGAAAACCTTTTTACAATCTCTTTAACAAGAACCACAGACATCTGATTGGAAATTAGAATGGTGTAAATTGATGCTATCAGTGTCTCTGATACATATAACAAATTTAGAAAACCTCTTTACAATCTCTTTAACAAGAACCACAGACGTCTGATTGAAAATTAGAATGATGTAAATTGATGCTATCAGTGTCTCTGATTTGAAAGAATACAATGCCTACCTTTAAAGCACCTGCATAAGCAATTCCTTTCGCGCCCCCTCCTTCAAATACCAAATTCTCAAACGGAAGTTGTTCTGATGTAGGTTCTGTTCCATGGAATATTTCTAGAATTCAACAAATAGAATTCCATCTGGTTATTTTGTTTTAGAAGATTCAGAATCAGCTAGCTCTTGTAGAGAATTAATGAAAGAGCTCTCCCAGACCCACACCTTCCAGCCTAGCCTATAATATTATCTTCTACTGTGGTATATATTGATATCATCTTATAATTTTAGAGTGAAAAAACCCCTGCATATAAAAACTGACTTGACTTCACGCACTGAATACCCTGTCGTGTGGTCCCCTAGTTTTAATCTAAAATACCCTGTCGTCTGGTCCCCTAGTTTTAATTTAAAATACCTGAAGTGTATCGTATTTATTTCAACTGTTTTAACATACTTTAATTATAGAGGTGAGAGGTGTTTTCAACAAAAAATAGGGTTTTCTATATAGAGTCTACTCAAATATATACAGGACACGATGAGTCAAACTTTGCTGTTTAAATTTACTATCATATAATCGTCGTTAGATTACCTCAAAATAACTTTTAAAGGGTAAAGTCGTCTACTTTCTAACTGATAAAACTTACGTCTTTCAAGTAATTCATCAGAAAAACAAAGCGTGTCGTCATTATCGATGTCTCTCTATCCTTTCAAATTGTGATCATAAGATGTTTGTTTGAGTCAGCTGTTTGAACGAGAGCGTAAATAAGTTCGTATCATACCCGCAACATGCGTCTATTTACCGCGTGATTTACTACTTATTAAAAGTAAAGAATACGATATAACTTGACCCTGTGTTGACAAGTTCTAAACCGGAAATATAATAATACTACTACTAACTCTCACCTTGATGATCTGTACCGGGAACATTCGAACCCTCGACACCGATTTCTACATTCTTAATTTTACATTCTGCCAATCTCTCCACATCGGTTGGAACTGACGGATTGTCACGGAACGCCTGATCCATCTCATAGTTTTTAATTCATTGTCCTATTATCAATAGTTGAATAGTTCACAGGAAGATAAATCCAGGTCGGTGTGAATAGACAGGTAGAAATGATTAGCCTACAGTAATAAATAGAACACCTTTATATCTACCTGTATAACTGAATATTAAAGATGACTTGCCTCAACACGATGGTTATTTACCTGTATTCTAATATTAAAGATGGGATTTGAACCTATCTTAATCAAGTCCCTGTGATTGCAGTCAAGTAATCCGATATCACCACTTCACATAAAAACCTGGCGATTTTGGAGATCAGGTTCATTGCACCTGTATCACAAATGAATCGAGTCCCTGTGACAGTAATCGAGTAATCTAATATGGATATCATCAACTTACAATATAATATATCTGGAGGGACAAGTAATATAACCGAAAGGACCAGTAATATATCTGCAGGGGCAAGTAATATATCTGGAGGGGCAAGTAATATATCTGGAGGGACAAGTAATATATCTGGAGGGGCAAGTAATATATCTGGAGGGACAATTAATATATCTGGAGGGACAAGTAATATAACCGAAAGGACAAGTAGTATATCTCGAGGGACAAGTAATATATCTGGAGGGGCAAGTAATATATCTGGAGGGACAAGTAATATATCTGGAGGGGCAAGTAATATATCTGGAGGGACAAGTAATATATCTGGAGGGACAAGTAATATAACCGAAAGGACAAGTAATATATCTGGAGGGGCAAGTAATATATCTGGAGGGGCAAGTAATATATCTGGAGGGACAAGTAATATAACCGAAAGGACAAGTAGTATATCTCGAGGGGCAAGTAATATATCTGGAAGGGCAAGTAATATATCTGGAGGGACAAGTAATATATCGGGAGGGGCAAGTAATATATC